GTGGACACTTACCAGCACTCCTATTGTAGCCGTGACCTTGGACCTCAGCTCCTGGTTGTGTTTTGTTCTCTCCCTCTGTATCCTCTACTGGTAATGTGAATGCTCCGGGCTAGCTTTTCTAGCCCAAAGACTAGAATCCTACTTTTAACCCAGTCCAGTAGCTAGAGGTCATGTTGGGGACCTCCGGGTACACTCTGTTACTGTATTATTTGTCCTTCAGTATTCCCATGCCATCCACTACACGCCACCATCATTTTTGGAAACTGTTTTTTTGTTTGTGTTTTGGTTTTGGTACCAGCGATTGAATCCAGGGGTGCTTTACCACTAAGCCACATCCCCAGCCCTTTCTTATTTTTCATTTTGAGATAGGGTCTTGCTAAGTTTCTTAGGGGCTCACTAAATTGCTAAGGCTGGCTTTGTTTGAGCTTGCAATCCTCCTGCCTCAGCCTCCCAAATCTCTGGGATTACAGGGATGTGTCACCACATCTGTTTTAGCACCTGTTCTGCAAGCTCAGCTGGATTTCCCTCTAGCAATAAAGCCTTCTGATCCACTCCCTTGCTCCTATTCTAATTGGCTTTAGAACTTACAGCTGCCTGATGACACATCTGACATATAAAAGGTCCAACATCCTCAGGTCAAATTCACAGCAACAGTGATCATCTTTTAAACGTACATGTCCTCCACTCCTACTGCTTTTTGTTTTAATGAAGCATCGGGAACTTCAGATGTTATGATACATTCAAAAAGACACAAGTCAACATAACTCACCACTAGCAGTTACCTTCTAATCTAGCAAAGAATAGGAGAATTGTCCCCAAGTCATTTCTATTATTTGACATAAATGATACTGAGTTTTTAGGTCTAAGAGGAAAGAAAGAGGAGAGAAATGGGCTGCAGATTAGATCTATCAAATCAGCCCACACTGGGATGAGCCACTCTACCCAAAAGGAACACCAGCCTGGCATGGTGGCACATGCCTGTAATCCCAGCACCTTGGGAGGCTGAAGCAGGAGGATCTAGAGTTCAAAGCCACCCTCAGCAAAAAGTGAGGCACTAAACAACTCAGTGAGACCCTGTATCCAAATAAAATACAAAATAGGGCTGGAGATGTGGCTCAGTGGTTGAGTGCCCCGAATTCAATCCATGGTACCCCCCGCCAAAAAAAAAAAAAAAAGGAACACCATCTTCACAATGATCATTTAACAACAGCATGAAACATCTCCAGGCCACGCGACAACCAAAACCGATTGAACACATTCCAACTGTTCTATTTGGCAGGAAAGAATGAAAGACATTTGTTCTTCAGGATGAGTAATCGCACATGATTGTTCTGTTCTTTTCTTTCCATTTCCAACACCAACCTGGTACAGACCCTGCACACTACCTACTAAGGAATGTTGCTGCAGCCCCTGGTTGGGTGCTCTCCCATCTGGAGCCACCCTCCTCTATCCTAAAACAACTCTCCTAAAGGGAAGCTGGGATTGAATTATTCCTGTGCCAGTAGCCCCCACATGCTCCCTGTTCAGGGCCCTCAACAATAAAAGGCCAGCCCACCTCCTCCAGCAAGAACCCTCTCCTGCCAGCCTGGCTCTTTCCTCCACAGATGTCACCTCCATCATGGCCTGAGGGCTCTCCTCTGCTCCCTCCTGATACCCACCCACGCCCCCAACAAATACTTTCCCCAGTAAATCTGTTTGTCTCCTCCCATCTCCATGTCTGCTTCTTTGAACTAACATAAATGGAGACTGAAAAACAAAATAAAATAAAATAAAAACAAATAAAAGCCAAAAATTTCTGGACAAGTTTGTAAATTCATCCCAAACTACCAAAAGTTGGAAAACGCTTCTCCAAAGGAAATTCTCACACAAAACACTCCAAGATTCTCAATTTACCCATAATCTAGCACATTCTTCCTCCTGATGGTTACATTCTCCCAGGTTCCAGACATGAATCCTAAGCCTCAACAGGTTGAATGAATTGTCTGAAGGTCACAAAGCTCAGTGATAAAATCTGGGTTCTTGTCTCAAAGTCCCATTGTTCATCCAACTGCACTTTAGTGAACTTGAAATAGATCATAGGTGTTTGGATAAAGGTATGTCACCATCTAATGTAAGGTAGTTAAACCATTATCCCCCTCCTCCTCCTCATTTCTCCCTGAGGCTCTTTGCAGTAAAGTGAAAAGCAGGATGAATCTGTCAGACCAAATGTGGAAGACAGGATAATGACCCCCAAAGATGTCCCTGTCCTCATACCCGCAACCTCTAATTATGAAAGCTTGGATGGAAAAGGGAGCTTCACAGATGTGATGAAATTAAGGCTCTCAAAGAGTAAAGTTACCCTGGATTATCCCGTGGGCCCTGTGTAGTCACAAGGGTCCAGGATGCCAGATGACCAGAGTCAGAGAAGATGTGAGAAAAGAAATAGAAGTCGGAGAGCCAGTGAGAGTTTCCACCGATGCTACTTTGCTGGCTCTGAAGATGGCAGGGATTACAACCAAGGAATACAAGGAGCCTTTCACAGATGGAAAAGGCTAGGAAACATCTCCCCCAGAGCCTCCAGAGGGAACATGGCATAGATGATACCTTGATTTTAGAACTTTTGACCTCCGGAACTGTAAGAAAATAAATCATGGTTGTTTTAAGCTGCTAAGTTTGTGGTCATTTGTTACAGCAGCAACACGAACCTAATACACTGAATACTCTAGACACCCACCACTAGAACACTCACCCAGCAAACATATATATACATGTACACAGGTATATGCACACAGACAAACCTTCACACTTTAGCCTCAACCTGTACTTGCAGTCTCACGGGTTTTGAGTTTATTTGTTTGTTTGGTGCTGGGGAGTAAACCCAGGGGTGCTACATCCCCAGTCCTTTTTATTTTTTATTTTGAGACAGGGTCTCTCTAAGATGCTGAAGTTGGCCTGGAACTTGCGATACTCCTGCCTCAGCCTCTTGAGTCACTGGGATTACAGGCATGTGCCACTGTACTCGTGGTTCTTGCAGGTTTCCATCCTATCCCCTCCTCCCAGTACTGTCCAGGATACCCTTAAGGACCCTCAATTTCCAGTTCTTGATTTCTGCGGCTCTAATCTGCTTACCAGTGGAGTTGTGCTTTTTATTAAACAAAAAGAAAATATCAGATTTCCCTAGTCCATGCCCAGGAGTTCCACAGAAAGAAGATATAAAGTACATTATATCAAAGACTGGAAAAAGCTCAGCTTCCTTAAAAATCAACACACATACCAGATGCCCATACCTGTATTCCCAGCAATTCAGAAGTCTAAGACAAAGGATTTCAAGTTCAAGGGCAGCCTCAGCAATTTACCAAGACCCAGAGCAACTTAGTGAGAACTTGTCTCAAAATAAAAAATTTAAAATAAAATGACTGGGAATGTAGATCAATAGTAGAGCATCCCTGAGTTAAATAAATAAATACACAATAAATGTGAACTTCTTCCCAAAAAGCTTTATAGAAAAGTAGATTACCCACAGTAACTTTCTGAGATGACTGTTTGGAGACACCCCCCCCCCCAAAAAAAAAAAAGAGAGAGAGAGAAAAGCTTTCCTGCCCTGCTTTGGAATCTCACCCCCTATGCTTGGGAAACTTTGGGACTTCAAGTACAGCAAGACTCTGTGTGGTAGCTTCTCTGGCACTTAACAAGGAGGGGGGGAAGCCTGGATACAGGATACCCTATGGGAACCATCACAGAAGTCTGTAGGTAGAACAGAGACTGAAGGACAGCTGACAAAATCCCAAGGATATGTCACAGGACCCAATTCAAAGGATTCACAGGATCACTGGAGTTAGCAGTAATTGTTCTGTGACACCGTCAGCAAAGGGTCCATTGATCTCTGCTTCCTTAGAGCTGATTATTGTCAGGAAAAGTAGGAAAGAACTTCATGATAGCCCTGGCAATTTCCAGCCTGGGGTCTGATTACATAATTCTCCCCTGAGTGGGGGGGTCATAGAATCTACTGCATTAGATAGCTTAGCAAATGAATTTATAAACTGCCTGAGCAAAGGATGCTTTAGTTAATACCTCATCGGAGAATTAACATTTAAACGCCTATCTCATCCAAGCGTATGATCAACTTTCAATCAGGGATATAGAGAATAGAGAATGAGGACTACACGAATAGTGTTTATATAGTCAGTGATAACCTAGGGATTTCAAAGATTTTTACTCAGCCAAAGGAAAATAATAATGTTTGTGAAAGCTGTGGAAGAGAAATTATTTGGTGAGCAAAGGTACAGAGTATTTAGAAAAAGTATCTTGCCTCATATGTAATGCTTCACAGTACCTGATACCTTCTTTTTAATAAAAAAGCTGGGTGAGGGGGTGCACGCCTATAACCCCAGTAGCTCAGGAAGCTGAATCAGGAGGATCACAAGTTCAAGTCCAGCCTCAGCAATTTAGTGAATCCCTAAGCAACTTAGCAAGAACCTGTCTCAAAAAATAAATAAATAAATAAAAAGGGCTGGAGATATGGCTCAGTGGTTGCTCCCCTGAGTTCAATCCCTGGTACCAAAAGGAAAAAAAAAATTAAAGCCCTTACAGACACAATATCAAAGATAAGAACCACGAAAGAAATTAGTCATTGAAAGCTAGTGAACAATTCTGAGAAAGAGAAAAAGGAGAGAAGAAAAAGCAGGGATCTGGGGCGGATGGAGAAAAGGGAAAAGAAGAGAAAAGAGAGAGAAGAGAGGGAGGGAGGGAGGAAGAGAGAGGGAGAGAGAGCGCGCATGTGCGATGAGCTGTAGCTGTGGACCTAACAGTTGCTGCTAACTGCCCTGGGGTGTGTGAGGGGGGGAGAGAGAGAGGGAGGGAGGGGGGGAGAGAGAGAGGGGGGGGGGGGGAGGGGGGGAGGGAGAGAGCCCTAACGGGAGAGAGAGAGTGAGCAAGCGAGCTAGAAGAGAGGTGGAGGGGGCAGGAATAAGAGAGAGGAGGAAAGGAGAGAAGGCAGGAAGAAGGCAAGGGACGATACCAGCATGCTGTCCTGTCTGAGAACCAAACCGGTGGGAAAAAATGCTGAGGACCAAAAGATTGAACAAGACAGAATCAAACCAGAAGACAGAGCTCAGAGGGCCGCGACCAAGATTCAGGCTCGCTTCCGTGGGTACATAACAAGGAAAAGGCTCAGAGGAGAGAAGAAGGGCGATGCCCAAGCTGCTGAGGCCAAAGCCGAGGAGAAGGAGGAGGGAGCCCTCGCTGCCGACGGGGTGGGGACGGAGGAGGCACAAGGCCCGGCTGCCCAAGCTGCCCCGGCCACTGGCCCCGAGGCCGAGGAGCCCGGCAAAGCAGGAGACCCCCCTTCCGAGGAGAAGCAAGCGGAGGGCGCCCCCGAAGGTGCCCCCGAGCAGGCAGCCACCCAGGCTCCTGCCCCCTCGGAGGAGATGGCCGGCTCCGCTAAAGCGGAGTTGTCCACCCACAACTCGCCGTCCTCCAGGGCCGAAGTCGTGCCCGCTAAGGAGGAGCCACAACCAGCCGATGTGCCTGCTGCTGTCACTGCTGCTGCTGCCACCACCCCTGCTGCAGAGGACACTGCCCTCGAGGCAACAGCCCAGCCTCCAACGGAGACGGCCGAGAGCAGCTAAGCTCCAGAGAAGATAGAAACTGTTGATGAACCAAACCTAAGGACAGTGGCCCTCAGGATGAGGGAGGGTCACGAAGAACGGGAGGCTAACCAGGAACATGCCTGAATTCTAGGAAATGGCTTTCCACGTCCCCACCCTCCTCTCTCCTGAGCCGTGTCTCTCCTGCCCTCTCTCAAATCCACTCTGAAGTTTCCCTTCCTGTCCTGCTCACGTCTGTGAGTCTGTCCTCTCCCGCCCACTAGCCCTCTTTCTGTGTGGCAAACATTTAAAAAAAAAAAAAAAAGCAGGAAAGATCCCAAGTGTGGCTTAAACATTTTTTGTTCCTTGGTGTTGTGATGGCGAATTTTTGGTTATGATGATCCAATCATTTGGGGAAAAATTCTTGCACTGTATCCCAGTTTTTTGATCTGGTACGTGTGGCCCTGTGAGAGTCCACTTACCTCTCTCTCTGTTCCAAGTGTGTGTACAATGTTCTGTTCATCTGAGGAGTCCAAAATATTGAGTGAATTCAAAACCATTTTGGTTTTTCTCCTTTTCAATGTGATGGAATGAACAAAAAGGAAAGAAATTCAAAAACCCAGTTTGTTTTAAAAATAAATAAATAAAGCAAATGTGCCAATTAGCATTTAAAAAAAGAACCATGAAAGATAAAATTGATATACATGATCATACAATTTTTTTTTCATTTTGTAGGTCAAAGAAATTAAGTAAAATTAAAAGCACAAATAGGAGAAATAATTACAACATAGAGGTGGATGTTCTTAACATACAAAGTCCTCTTTCCTGGAGAAAAGACACACTCCAGAGAAGCAAGCAAACAAGATGTTATGGTTTGAATCTGGAAGGTTCCCCCAAAGGTTCCTGTGTTAAAGGCTTGTCCCCCAATGCAGCAGTGTTCAGAGGCAGGGCTCTTGGGAAGGAATTAGATCAGGAGGGCTCTGACCTCATCAGTGGATTAGTCCATTGGATTGAAAATATGGCATTATTGGTAGGTGATGGAAACCGTAGGAGATTGGACCTACTTGGAGGAAGTAGGTGACTAGGGCTTGCTCTCACTCGCTGGTGCTCTCTTTCTCTCTGCATCCTGGCTGCCATGAGCTAAGTAGCTTTTCTCTGCCATTCCCTTCTGCCATGTTGCACAGAAATGGAGCCAGGTGACCATGCACTGAAACTCTGCAACCATGAGCCAAAGTAAATCTTTGTTTGGTTGTTATTGCTGCTGCTGCTGCTGCTGCTGTTGTTGTTTGGGGGTTTTTTGGTTTGGTTTGGTTTGGTTTTTTTGTTGTTGTTTTGTCTTGTTTGGGTACCAGGGATAGAACCCAGAGGCACTTAATCACTGAGCCACATCTCTAGCCTTTTTTTTTTTTTTTTTTGATACAGGGTCTCCCTAAGTTGCTGAGGCTGGCTTTGAACTCGCATTCCTCCTACTTCTGCCTCCTGAGCTGCTGAGATTACAGGCAGTTTGTCCCAGCAACAAACGCTGACTGACACATGAGCCAAAAGAAGGAAAATGAATGATCTATGTATATATAAGTAATATCTAACTTTATTAATCAAGAAGCACAAATTAAAACATTAAGTTGTCCCATCAGATACACTTTTAAAATGGATGGACACCTTCTCACATATCACTGTAAAAATAAAATGTAACACAATATTTCTGAACAAAAATTTGGAAAAGTACATTTAAAATCTTAAAATACGCATTCTCTTTTGAGCCAATAATCACTTCTAACACTGATCACTTAATTTCTATTCTAAAAAAAATCATGAGGGATGTGAGTGAAGGTAAGCATTTTTAATGGTGAAAAAAAGTACTTAAATATTTGAAATTAGGAATTTCATACACTATGATAAATCAAGCAATAGGATTCCATATAACTACTTAGAGAATTGTGTTTTACATATTGATTATAGAGAAATAGTCATGACGTGTTGTTAGGCAAGAAAAGGAAGTACAAATAGTAGATACAGTGTAGTCTGTTTTTGTGAGATAGATTAGATAGATAAATACAGAAAGAAGCTAGGCCCAGAAGCCCACACCTATAATCTCAGCCACTCAGAAGGCTGAGGAGGAGGATCACAAGTTCAAGGCCAGACTGGGCAACTCAGAGTGAACCTGTCTCAAAATTTAAAAAGGGGCTGAAGATGTAGTTCCATGGTAGAATGGCCCTGTGTTCAGTCCAGAGAAGGAAAATAGGAAGGAGAAAGGATGTTCAAATGACCAAGGGATATCTATGTCTACCCAGCATCCATTCCCCACTCCCTGTTTCCCAGGAGAACCCAGGTTTCCATGTCTCCATGGGTCCTCCCTTCACCATGTAAGTGAATCCCACCAGGGTGGACCCTGACTTAGGCCCATTGGCCCATTCCATTTCCCTGATCACAAGCCATTGGTTCATGAATGATCAGGCCATCTGGGCTGGGCCAATCAGGTGATGGCTTGGAATCCTGAAGGGAAACTTTTTTTATATCTGATCCCATATATGGGGCTGGGAAGCATATGACAGGGGGCGTCTTTGGCCAACTTAAAATGCAGCTGACAGTAGGGAAGTTTAAATAGAGAAAACAAAAAAAAGATAATCAATCTAAGCAACCCAAATAATAAATATAATGACATAGCGGAGGGCATTCAGACAGCTTGGGCTTAGATCCTGGACCTGCCACTGTTTAACTGGGTCACCTTGGTAAATGTAGCCTTTCTGAACCTCACTCTCCTAACATCAAAAATGTAGATAATAGCAAGGCACAGAAGTGCACACCTATAATCCCAGTGACTCGGGAGGCTGAGACAAGAGGATGGCGAGTTTGAGGACAAACTGCAACTCAACAAGACCTTGTCTCAAAATAAAACATAAAAAGGCCTGGGGACCCGGGCACAGTGGCGCACACTTATAATCCCAGCAGCTGGGGAGGCTGAGGCAAGAGGATTATGAGTTCAAAGCCAGCCTCAGCAAAAGCAAGGTGCTAAGCAACTCAGTGAGACCTTGTCTCTAAATAAAATACAAAATAGGGCTAGGGATGTTGCTCAATGGTCGAGTACCCCTGAGTTCGATCCCTAATACCAAAAAAGGCCTGGGGAATGTGGCTCAGTGATTAAAACTAAATAAATAAAAATGGGGATAATAAAGGTACTTCCTCCTTGGGTGACCAGAGGAAGAGATGAGAAAAGGTGTAACACCTGTGTCTGGCTCCAGGAACTGCCGGACATGCCTGGTTTTGTGTAACAAAACACCTCTTGCATGCTATTTCAGAGTCTTGGCCCCACATATCTCTTAATTCACTCCAACCAGTTCCTACAGCACCAAACTCAGTCCACATTGGTCTTTCTTCTCTGTTTTCTCCATGATGTTCTTGCTCAGAGTTCATACTATCAAGACCCAGAAGTGCGGTTTTGAACAGCCTGTGGATAAGTACTTCCCCCACCCCTCCCATTGAAAGTTCCCAGCATGGTATTTCACACAGTGCAGGGCTCTGTGTGGGCTGGGAATTAAAACCAGCACTTTGGCTGGGCATAGTGGCACACACTCGTAATCCCAGCAACTCAGGAGGCTGAGGCGGGAGAATTGAGAGTTCAAAGCCAGCCTCAGCAGCTTAGTGAGGCCCTAAGCCACTTAGTGAGACTCTGATTCTAATAAATATAAAAAGGCCTGAGGATGTGGATCAGTGGTAAAGTGCCCCTGGGTTCAATCCCTGGTACCAAATAAAAATTAAAAAAAAAAAAAAAAAGCGTGCTAAGTTTTGAGGGGTCAACCAATTGCCCCCAGCAATGGTCACATCATATCCCCTCCCCTAGGCCCCTGTCCCTCACCTCAGCTCTCCCTTTCAGTTTCTTCTTTCTGGGAAACCCAGACAGAGCTCAGAATACCTCTAGACAGGCACATTGTTGTGGATGGTTCTTCTTTTTCTTCATTTCCCTTATTATTTATTTATTTATTTATTTTAATGCAGAACCAGGGGTTGAACCCAAGGCTGTGGGCAGCAGTCCTCATGCAGGACTCTATCACTGAGCTCCACCCCCAGCCTCCCCTCAGCTCTGTTTTCTAATTAGTCTTACAAAGCACACATCTGCATCTCGTGATTTTTAAGTCTTTTCCCCCCTCAAGCCTATAATCAAGTCTTCAAAGTAAATTGACCTTTGTTATAAAAGTAACATGAAATGAGGGTTAGAGAAAGTATGGAGATGTGATATTAATCTTTGCTAACCAAAAAAAAAATGCCCAACATGGAGTCCTCACAGGAAGTGGGGGACGACGGAAAATAGGAGAGGAAGAGCCTAGTTATTCTCCCTGGTTGGTCCTGGATGTGCCACAGCGGCTCTGAGGCCAGTTTCTCAGAGGAGAGCCAAGAAGGAGGCAGAGAGGGAGGAAGGGCGTGTTGCTTTCCTTTGTTCTCCAGACTGGCTCCCTGAGGTGGGATTGAGGAGCAGGGCCCCTTCTGTTCCCCGCCTTCTGTTCAGCAGAGGTGCTAACTGGTTGACAGGCCCCAGTAAAGGTTGACTGGTTGACAGACTCAGAGGGGGACCGGAGGAGTGACAAACTGGGTGTGAAGGCCCCTTGCAGAGCTGGAGCGAGCCATTTGCCTGTGGCCCAGAAGGCACTTGGAACTGGACACTGAGGGGCAGCTCTGTGTTCAGGAGCAGGGAGTCATCTCAAGGGGCTCATAATTAAAAATCAGGGGGCTCTGCTGAAGACTGTGCATGTCACTGGGTGGAATTTGGGCCCTGGTGCTTTAGCGTCTGCCCACCAGCTGAGAACCAAAGCCCCATGCCAACCTCTGGCCTTTCCCTGTCCTCCCATGTCTGTGCGTCTGAGTGGCAGAGAGGAGCCCACACCCACGGCCCGGGCTGGACTGGAGGTGTTGCAAAGCACGGAAACTGGACAGGGTGTCCCAGAATTTGATGGCAAGGTCACCCTCTAAATCAAGCAGATAAAACCTCATAAATCAAAAATGATGAGAGAAGCCCCAGGAGTCCTGCCTCCTTGGGTGTAACCCACATG